AAAAAACTAAAAACCTGCTGACCTTTTATGACACCCACCCACAAGATGGCACCACTGCAAAGGATCAGCATTACATTCATGCCACCATACTTCTTCTCCCTGATTTAGTGACTCAGAGAGTGCTTGGGATCACATGACCACATTATGATAAAGAAAATAAGAAAAGTATTTCACACAATTCTAACAACTGAATAGACACTTTCCATGGTAGAATGAGCAGGTGAAAAGTCAGACTGCATGCTTACGGGTATGCTCAGCGTTCAGATTTAATAACACCAAGCAGAAAAAAAATGAACCTGTCTAACTAACCTCTTGTGGTTGGGAACCGGCCATCTGTAACCGAATCCACAAAGCAACCATACAGTACTACTCATAGGAGGTACATTATTAAATAACCCCAATTATGTAACATTTGATTTGCAGAAACCATTATCTGGTATGTAATTACCTCAAACCAGCACAGAGTTCCACTCAGTTTCCTGATATTCCACGAAGACTCTACCTGCAAAAGATTAAAACAGATGACACATTTAAAGGGGCAGCTTCATGCTGAAGAGTACAGATGATACATTATTATTATTATTATTATAGAATATTAGAGTATAGAAGATAAAGACAACACTGATATTTAGGACACATGCCCTCTATGTCATTAAAAATGTTATACACATATAATCCTCATTTCCCAGACTTGAACTCATTACCTATGGTGAGCCCTAAACACCTAAACTTGCTTCCTCAACCGCAGCATAACCCCTAAACCCTTAGCCTAACTCCACATGCCCCCCAAAGAAAACACCTGCTTTACCCCGCAGTCAGGATAACAACTATATATTCTCAGTTGGATATTCAGCTTTTTGTGTATCCAGGAATAGTCAATTCTCTAGCGCAGCCCCCTTCCTCCTTGTACAGCATAACCCTCTCCTCTTCTGCGAGTGTCTAGTTAATGTCTGTGTTGGCCCAGCTCCAATGCCCCACCCTTCACCTGCCTACATAGGCTTTAATGTAGCTACTGGGGTAGGAGCAAAGGGAAATACAATAGAGCAGCTTTCTCAGCCAGGGTGCTTTCTGGCTTCCTCAGGGGCACCTCAAAATTATTACACAGCATCGTGTCTTTCCATGGTGCAGACGAGACGCTGCCAACACCATGGAAATGAAGGGCGCTAATCCAGGGAGGACGGGATCCATTCAGAAAACAATGGAAGATCGCCTCCATCCATACCTGCTCTGCCTCCTGCCCTCTGATGGGAGGCTCCTGATGTGATGGTAGGACTGATGTGAAAAGAGGGGGGCTGCTGGTGTATAAGGAGGGGGGCTGCTGGTGTATAAGGATGTGTATAAGAAGGGAGCTGCTGGTGTATAAGG